GATAAAGAGTGAAAAAGAAAGAAAATGATTCATTATAATAATTTTTTTCAATTATAACCTTTCATTACTTGTGATTTTAAAGCATTCTTGGACCATGATATATTTGCTATCTTGTCTAGCTTTACAATTGTTACTATATCAATGATTTTTAATTAAGTGAAATAAGAAGATGTTTTACAAATATGCATTAATGAATTTTGAGTTAGTCTGGCATCTCATAAACACAAAAAATATATCTATTTATATTCAATCATTCATCAAAATCGAATCACCAAAAAATTATAAAAAAAAATGTATATTAAAAGATATATATGAAACTTACTTGAAAAAAATATTGCTTTAAAAAAATTATAAGATGATTGTGATCTGCTTAAGTTTTTTTTATTAGGTTTTTAGTATTAATAAAAAGATAAACATAATAGTCTTTTTATAAAAAAAAAAGTTTTTCAACTTTCCTTTCCCTAGCTTTTCCTCTAAATTGGAGTATTAAAAAAATTAGGTTTACGAGGGAAACCAATGGTTATTTGGTTTTTACTTCTTTTTCTTTCTTTAAATTAAATATTTATCCAAACAAGAGAATGAAGGTTTGATTTCCTTTACTTTCCTTGACTTGACTTGACTTTCCTTTCCTTCCTCTCCCCCCAATCTAAACACATTGTAAAGGAAATGAAAGAGGTAAAAACTCAATAACCCTTGATTTCCCCTATAGTCTTCACTTTTTTAATACCCCTAATTTGGGGGAAAAGCTAAGGAAAAGAAAGCTAAAAAAAATTTATTTTTGTAAAAAGACTATTATATCTAAATTTTTATTAATACCAAAAGCCTAGTAAAAAAAAATAACTACATCACAATTTTCTTGTAATTTTTTCAAAGTCATCTTTTTTTTTTCACATATCTCTTCTACTATAAAATTTTTTTATAATTTTTGGTGATTTGATCTTGAATAATGATTGAATATGAATAGACATATTTTTTAAGTTTATAAGATTTCAAACTACCTCAAAATTTTTTATTTTTATATATAATATATTATAGTTTAAGATGTCAGCAATTTTAGGACATTATAGAAAGAAGAATGAGAAAAAGGAGATGTTTCATTGAAACACAATTAACTTGGCTATGATTATTGGAAGAGATAGGAATTGACTCACAACAAATCACTACTGCTTACCTATATTTTATTGATAATTCTGAGAAAGTAAGAGCAGTACTTAGATGCCATATGATAAAAGAAAGGATGTCGTTGAAAGGTTGGTGTTTGATTCATCTAGTCATTAAAAATGTTAAAATTTTCTTTGCTACATAAGTTTTTAATTCATTGAAATAAGTTTATTTTTGTAGGACGAAAATATTTATTTTTTATTTTAGTAAAATAAATTTATGTTGGACAACTATATAGTGATATGTTATTACTTTTTGTTTGGTGCAAAAAGGACATATAATTCACTCATATATAATGTTTTTATGTGATTGCATTTTTTATATTTAATAGCTTTTATATGAATATATCATCAAAGTGATAATGTGCTAAAATTTTAATAATGGCCAACAAATCTATCAAATGCATGTTTGTAAAACATCTTTTTGTTTCACTTGATTAAAAACTACTGATATAGTAGCAATTGTGAAGCTAAATAAGATAGCAAACATATTATGGTTCAGAACTACTCTAAAATCACAAGCAATGAAAGGTTATAATTGAAAAAAATTATTATATGAATCATTTCCTTTTTTTTTCACTCTTTATTCAAACAATGGTTGTTAAAATTTCTTTCCTTTCTTTTCCTTTATTAATTTTAATTATCCAAACAAGGGGTACATGTATCCTTTCTTTTCCTTTAAAAAATTTTATTTTCCTTTCTTTTATAATATTTATCCAAACATAGCATAAGGATATCTTGAATGAATCAACAAATTTATGTTAACAAATAACAATTTTTTAGTAATTTAAAAAAATTCGTTGAAAAAAAAAAACTAAACCTAAAATTTCATTCATGTTTGTAACTAAATTCAATGGTCAATTTCTGTTCTATCTTAAATTTTTCTCACCAACTAAAAAAACCAAACTCAGAATTATAATAACAAAATAAATTGGTAAAAAAAAAAAAAGCCAAACACTGAAAATTGTCACTGTTGAAATGGAGCTTACTAAAGGAGCTTGAATGGTGACAAAAACACAATAAATTAGAAAAAAAGTTTAGCAATTTAACCCAACAAATCAGACAAGAAGTTTAGAGATTTGACCTAAAATGCAAGAAAGCTAACTTGAAATTTACAAAAAGAAAAGGAAAGAAGATGAAAATTGACTACAAAATAACTGTAACTTAGGCAGAAAACGAGAAGAAAGCGACTCAAAATGAGCAAAAATGGAAGAAATGAAAAGGGGAAAGAAAAGCAAAAAAAAAGGTTTTGTGAGTTTGAAATTTAAGAAAAATTTAATAGTAGGAAAGTGTGATTATTGAAGGCATTTTTTGCTAAAAATGCCTTCAATAATCCCCTTCAATTTTTGTTTAGAATTATTTAAGGCGTTTCTGATCAAAAATACCTTCAATAATTCCCTCCAATTTTTTTAGAGATTATTCAAGGCATTTTTGGCTAGAAAACGCCTTGAATAATCTCTTATAAAAATTGAGTAGGATTATTCAATGTGTTTCTAGCAAAAACACCTTGAATATTTTTAGTTAAAAATGCCTTTAATAATCCATTTCAATTTGTTTTGAAGATTATTCAAGGCATTTTTAGCCAAAAATGTCTTGAATAATCTCTTTCCATTTTTTTGAAGATTATTCAAGGTATTTTTGAAAAAAAAAATACTTGAATAATCTTTTACAAAAAATTGAATGGGGTTATTCAAGGTGTTTCTAGCAAAAAATACCTTGAATAATCTCTTTTATTTTTTTGAGAATTATTCATGGTATTTTATGCAAAAAAAAAGGCCTTTAATATTCTTTTTCCTTTTTTTTTTTTAAGATTATTCAATGCGTTTTTTGCTAGAAAACTCTTTGAATATTTTTTTACAAAAAATTGAATAGGATTATTCAAGGCGTTTTTTGCCAAAAACATTTTGAATAATTCCTTTCAATTTTTTTTTTTTGATTGTTAAAGGCATTTTTGGTGTTTTTGGTTAAAAACATCTTTAATAATCCCCTTCAATTTTTTTTAAAAATTATTCAAGGTATTTTTGACAAAAATGCCTTGAATAATCCATTTTCATTTTTTTATTATTGAAGACGTTTTTTACAAAAAAAAAAACACATTCAATAATCAACTCAATTTTTTATGAAAAGATTATTCAAGGCATTGTCTGTCAAAATCTCCTGTTCATTTTTTATAATTGGATTATTCAAGACATTTTTTGTAAAAAAAAACCTTCAATAATCACTTCAACTTTTTAGAGAGAATTATTCAAGGTGTTTTAGTTTATAAACACCATTAATTTTTGTCTTTAATAGTGTTTATAACAACAAACGTCGCTAGTTAAATATTTAATGATATTTTGATAAAAAAAAACGTCTTAAATTTTTTAAAAACACGAAAGCTAATGATATTTTTAAGTAAAATACCGCTATAAAATTATCACTAATTTTTTATTTTTTTTAGTGTACCTTGATAAGTAATTAAAGAGATTGATTTAGACAGTTGGACTATACATGTGTTAGCTGTCCAAATGGACTAAACAAATTAAATAACTATTTTTAAGAATGAACCCTTATCACAATAACATACTAATTTAATCTTTGTTATTGTCAATTAATTTTAAATAAAAGAATAATAAATATTGCAGTTTGCAAACCATAAACTATGAAATATTATTAAAATGGCTTTGATAACGAGTGCTTTTAGGTACTTTTTAAAGTTAGTTAATATAATAATAATAATAATAGTTTTATATTAAATTTTGATAATTTTATTTATGTTTCTTAATGCATTGGATGAAGATATTATTGCATACGATCATTTTAAAAAATGTTTTAAGAACACTCATTAATAAATTACAAACAAGAGTTTAAGCCATCAATGAAAAGAAAAGTAAAAAAAATGTAATTTACCCGAATTTATATTTTTCGTAAAATAGATTGCTAAGGTCCCATTTAATTAATTGATGCTTTTATTTATTTTATTTATTGTTTTTTACCTCTTATTTTTATTTTTTTTTCCTATTATTTTTTATAAAAAAAATGAAGCAAATAATAAAGCATCAAAGGAAGCTTAAGAAAATTATTAAAATAAAAGGGAGACATATAAAGCTCAATGAAACTATTATAAGCTATTAAATTTTTCCATGATTGTGGCCATGAAAGCTGGGTCAGAGTCCATTATTCTAATTGTCCAAAATTAAAGAAAAAAATTGGGGACCTTATCTAATTTTATTAATGATGATATACTTAATTATACTCGTGTGAAATGAAATTATGTTGTCTTGGTAGACATATAGTTGATCAATTTAATTAATTTGATCACCAGTCAAATTAGGAGACTCCTTTGCTTATAGTTCGAGAATGGGTCATCAAAGCTATAAATCATACATGACGATTGATTGCAACGGTTCATTATATTTATTTGATGGTACTTTTAAAGTTTATCAATATATTATTTATAATAATATTTTTATGTTAAATGCAGAAATTTATATAATTAATGTGATGTTTCAATGTATTGTGAAAAAATATTTTCCTAATATGAAATTTTTAAAAAGCGTTTTTCAAGGCGTTTGATAGCAAACTTTTTATTTTATTTTTTATAATGAGACGAAGGATATGTTCAGCTTTGTTTGGCTTTAATTAAATTGGACCAACGATGTTTTCTAGTGGGCCATATGCTAAAAATACCAAAACCATAAGCCGACATGTAAATTCCTAATTTTATTTTAACTCGCAACGGCTAGTATTGGCCATTTGGCTCTCAAAATTTGACCGTTACAACCCATGCATCCTTTCATGTCAAAACCCTCACCCCCCACCCCCCCACCCACAAAAAAAAAAAAAAAAAAAAACCTCTTTCGATTTTATTAAAAGCTTTCAATTCAGTATATCTCTTTTTTCAACCCCACTGAAATTTAATGCTCTGTTATAAAACTTTCTCATTAATCTTATTGTTTAGAAAATACTTTTCATATCAATGGAGCAAGTGATGGAAAAGCCCTTCAATAGTAGTCCAATTCAATCTGAAAATGGTGGATTGGAGAACAAAACACCATCCCAGAATCAGAAAATTTATCAGAATTCTCAAGATTCCGACAACAATTTGAGAAAAACATGTACTCCAGATAGGCTTAAAGTTCCCAAGGCATTTAAGTACCCTGAAAGGTAAGGAACTGTACAGATTTTGATCATGTTTGAAGTACTACTGTTTCATGAATGTGTAATTTTACTTCCTGGTTTGTTTCAGGTATAGAAGTCCAACTGATTCTATGATGTCACCCGTTACAAAAGGTCTTCTTGCAAGAAACAGTAAAGGTGGTGGTGGCGGTTCACTCTTGCCACCTAGTCTAAATCAAACTAAGGTAAATTTCAAAGCTTATTGAAGATTGTAATCTTGCTACCCTTTTCTTCCTTCTTACACTAGAGAGTTGTTGCTTGTGAATTCAATACTAGGATCTCGCGGGACCTTCTTTGATTAGGCAGCAATAATCATTAACAAATTTAGGATTTCTATGTATGGAGTTTATATAATCATGTTTAATGTAATATTGAACACATCAGTAGTTTTTGGTTTTTCAAGTTATTTACTGTATTTGCTGATGTTTCAGATTCATGAGTTGCGTGTTCAAGATGTTGGTGTTTCTAAGAATTGAAGAACTGATGATGGTGGCTGAAAGCTGAAATTAGATGGATTCTTGAACTTGATGAATTTGTCTGAAATGATGTTAATTTCAATATAAAATTTACAATTAAGAAAAAAAAAAAAAACCTATGGGATGTATCTCTTGAACCCGTTTCTATTTCAATTGATCCAGTGAAAGGGGCCTCTTGTAATTTTGGTAGAGTTTTTGTATTGTAATGATAATTTTGCTTACTAATCATCTATGTTCAAATGCTTCACGTGAGACTGAAATAAGAAACTTAGGTAAACATGATCCATTCTCATTGTGGAGACAAGCTAAAGACGATAATCATTATGACTGGCATGCCTGCTGCCAAACCGTTAACCGGTTGATTTATTGAAGTGGTAGAGAGTCAGTTTTGTTACCGGCAGTAGATATTGGGATTTCCTGGACTCGAGCCTCAACACTAGGTCAAGAGGTTGTTGGCTCGTAGTTTCTTGGAGTGGGTGGGAAGTCAATTTTAGACATTCAGACCTGATAAATATGCATTTAATGATGTTAAGAGGATCATGTAAATTGGTAAAATTATATTATGCCTCCATTCTTATGTGGGAAATCCATTTAAAAGCTTAAGCAAAATGCTTCAGTGTACGCTTCAAATGAATAAACTGATGGCTAGCACCGTATTTAGCACCCAGTCATTAAGAATGAAAGTAGAGATTTACATGATTGCTAGATGGTCAAGACATACGGCTGCTCTTCTCACTCTAGTCGAACTTCATACCATTGAATCGAACCAACATCTCCATCTATTTCAAGTTCACAAACAGACCTTACCAAGTAAGAAACAGCATCATCCATGTTCACAAATCTTGCAAGGTCTGGTGGAAGGGTCTTCCCAGGCCAATTTTCAAGCCAGCCCTTTAACTTGGCTTTCAGCTCGTCTTCAGAGACAAACTTCTCATCTTGTCCAGGTTCTAGTAGAACATACGTTTCAGTCCTTGAATATGCTGCCCTCCTCCTCCTGCTTGCACACATCTGACCAAAAGTAAACTCCATAAAGATACCCCAGAACCAAGAAGGCTATGTTTAAAAGTTTAGGATGCTTCCTCTTCATCCCCCCCCCCCCCCCCCCTCTCTCCCAAACACTCCTCTTCCCAAAGGTTCAGAAAAATGCCCATTCCCCTGAAGATCATTCTAATAGGAATATGAATAAAAAGTAAAGAGCTTACTGGGAACGTTTTAAAAGGCCCCAGCTCAGAAAAAAGATATCAGATTACACTTAAATTATCACCGGTCATAGCTTACAGGGAATCGTTCCATTTACCATAGTTAAATAGAGTTTTGCAGAAAAGGCTTTATAATTAGTCAAGATCAGGATAAAGATGATATCTTCCAAATCATCCCAGGTCATTAGAAATGTTTTTATCTTCACAGTTTCACTTGTGTGCCATTACAAGTGGGTAAGTGTCAGAACTGCTTAAACCCTAAACCCTAAACCAAGCAGAGAAGATCTATAATGATAGCCTTGGAATGAAAATGAGCATTTGGAAAGAAAAAATATTTACCTTCACAGCATAGCAATGCTGACTCCCCGTTTTAAGAAGTTTCACATGAAGAGGACTAAAATATTGATATCCACTTACTGAACTTGCTTGAGCAAATGGTGTAATAGTGTATCTTGATAGAAAATTACCTGCAAACAAGGGGAAGTAATGATATCATTAGCAACATAATATAGCCCTATCTCTCTTACAAAAGAAGTCATACTCTTTGCACTCTGATTATCAATTTGAACAGTGATGCTGTTCTGTAAAAAATATTTAAAGTTTATTTAGACAACTTTCAAGCCGGATTTCTTCTCCTCAATTCCATAATTAAATTCCAGGCTTAATGCAAAATAATTAAAAGACAAAAAATTTCGTTGTGTACAAATCAGTAAAGCCCATTTCAATTCCACACACAGCAAACTTACCAGTCGCCACTGCCTAATTTTTTTCTTCTCTTTGTTCTATGTAGAGTCCAAAAACATTGAAAAAGCTGATGCTGCAATAACTAAACAACAGTTGACTCAAATTGTAGCTAATTTGCTGTTAATCATGAGCTCAAACCCCAATTTACTGTTTACATCATGACAATAAATACCTGTGAATAAATCACATCACAGCTCTTCAATGAATGCCACCTAATTAAATGCTTCAGATCAATTTTAGTATTAAATGAGGGCATAAACATCTGGACAGCTTAGGTATTCCTGAAGCCACCAAACCAAGACTAGAAAATGTGAGAATCTGATGTGGTAAGCAGATGGCTTCATACTACATTATGAGCCTTTAACCAAAGATAGTGACAAATAGTCTAGCAAGAACTAAAGAATGCCAGGGATACACAGGCTTCCAACAGCAGAAGATAGTAAAATGACAAACAGATCTTCAAGATGATCCCAGCCAGAACTTCATAATCAGAGCTACAGAGTCTCTCTATGAAGAATCCATCAAACTAGAATTTAGGATTTCCATAAAAGTAAGCAGGTGTCAAGGATGCAATGGGTAGCTGGAAAGCAGTTAGCAGCATCACCTCAGTATGAGTTATTATTGGACATATACCAAATCAAAAAGTTTAAGATACATCTCCATCTTCATTAGGAAACAAAGTATCATCTCTGAGGGATAAATACCCAACATCCTTCATATGATCTACTAGTATGACAATCACTTCACATATCTTTTCTATCTGAGAATGGCCTTTGTCTTTCACCGCAAATTCATGTTGTACATTCCTCACCTCAATCCAACTATAAGCAGCTTCTTTTCTTAGACCTATTTCCTCAATGAGCCTTCTCACTGCTTGGGAATCATCCCATCTTCCAGCTGCAGCATAGATATTTGATAACATTACATATCTGGCAGCATTCTCCGGTTCCAGTTCAAACAGAGCCTCTGCTGCCCTCCTAGCTAGATCTAAGTTACCATGGACACGACAAGCACCCAAAAGAGCACCCCACATACCAACATAATTTGGTCCATTAGGAGTTCTCTTAATCACATTCATCGCCTCCTCAAGCCTATTTTTCCTTCCAAGCAAGTCAATCAAGATTGCATAATGATCAGACCCAGGGGTCACACAAAATCCTTTTGCATCAAGTCTAAAATCTTCATTCCTTCAGAGACTAGACCTGTGTGACTACAAGCAGATAATGCCCCAAGAAACGTGACATGATTGGGCATTATGTTTGCTTTTATCATCATTCTGAACACATTAAGTGATTCCTCCCCATGCCCATTTTGGGCAAACCCAGTTATTAATGAGTTCCATGAAACAACATCCTTCTCATGTATCCTCTCAAACAGTAATTAAGCTGAGTTCATGTCTCCACACTTGCAGTACATGTCAATTAAAGCATTAAAAGCAAACTGATTCAACAAATCAGGTCTACTGCCAACTCTAACTGTGTGTCCATGGATCTGTTTACCTTTTCCAATAAGTGCTAAATCCGCACAAGCACTTAAAACAGAAACAAATGTGTAAGCATTAGGCTGCACTCCAGCCTCTATCATCTGCCTAAAAAGAATTAACGCTTCATTTCCATGATTATTTTGTGCAAAACCCGTGATTAAACCAGTCCAAGATACTGTATTCTTAATCGGCATTTCATTAAATACACTACAGGCATCCTCCGATCTAGACACTTTGGCATAAGCAATCACCATAGAAGTCCATGAAACCACATCCCTTTCACTCATTTGATTAAAAAGCTTATAAGCACTATCCACCTCCCCACATTTCCCATAAGCATCAATCAAAGCATTGTAAACAATCAAATTCAACTCCAAACCAAAAACTATCATAAAGCCATGAACTTGACACAACAATCTCAAAGCACCTAAGCAGGCAAAAACACCAACAATACTTACGACCGTACAGCCATCAATAACCAAATGATCACATTCATTTAGCATTTTTTTGAACATGATTACTGATTCTTTGTAAAACCCATGTCGGGAAACCCAGAAATCAATGAATTATAACTAACATGATTTCTCCTAGGCATTTCATCAAACAAGTCACAAGCTCTATCAAAATGACCATGTTGTGAGTACACAGAAAGAAGAATGTTCCAAGAATATCTGTTTTTCACATGAAGTTCATCGAAGGCTTTTTGGGCACTTTTTATTTCATTGAATTTCGAGTACATGGCTATAAGATGGTTGGTTATAAAGGGCTTAAAGGTTAGAGCTTTTTTGATAAATTGTGAATGTAAAAGTAAGCCTAAATTCAAGTTCTTGTCTTTTATTGATCTTGAGATGAGAGATTTGAAAAAATAATCAAGACCCATATCTCCTTTCATTTTTTTTTTCTTGTTTTTGGGGTTTCTTCTAGTTGATGAAATTCATGATAATTTTGAAAAGTACAATTATATAGCGTAAAGATTTTTTTTTAATAAAGCTTAAAAGGCCAAAAGCTAAGCTTACAGTTAAAGAGCCGCTGAAGCCCATTGTTGAACAGCATTTTCTCCGTCGAAAAATTATTGCCCGCAAGATTTAGCATTTCTTTTTTTGTGTGTGTTTGTTGTTGCAAAATAAGTGTAAAATGGTGAGGAAAAAGATGGCATATGCTTTGTTTAACACAGGCTTTAGGCTTTGAAGATAACATGATAAAAATTGTATGGAACTTTGCTAATATATATGTCTGTCAGTTTCTAGTATATGCCCTTAATTACCCTGATTTTTTTTTCTTTTTATAGCCATAAAGGGTGGAAACTTTTCAATCAGCCTTGCAAATGCCAAATCGTGCCTAAATAGTATGGGCGATTATCTTTATTTTTTATTTTAAGAAATTTTTTTTCTTCAATTTAACATATTATTTTATATTTATAAAATTTATGAATTAGAGAAATTTTTACTTAATATTATCATGACTGTATGTTGAAATTTTTTGTTTTTGTTGGCTATTTGAAAGTAACATATAATATCATGCATTCAAACTATTTAGTTTTTTTTTTTTTAGTATTTTGCCATAAATAGCATGACGAATTTAGGATGTTTTTGGGCCGAAATTAGAACATTTATTTGTGAGACAATATTCCAGTTTTATGTTGTGAAATTGGTTTTTTTTTTTTTTTTAAGTTTTATGAATATTTTGATATATTAAAAAGGTGGGAAAAAAAAGAAGTACAAATTAGTTAGCATCATGAAATAAGTAGATCAAGTACTGGTGATTAAGACCCAAATCTTCTCCAGCTGAGGAGGTTCATA